TTTTTAAAGGAAAAGAAAAAAAAAAGCATGAAGGGCTCCAAGAGAATTTTTTTTTAAAGGAAAAGAAAAAAAAAAAGAAGATGGGAGGACAATTTAAAAACCAGAAAAACAAACAATGCAGACCAAGAGGAAACGCGGTCTTACGAACAAATGGACCAACTGCCAGTCATGTCTTCTCCTTCTTTTATTTTATTTTTTTTTTTTTTTTTTTTGTTGGTTTTCTTTTCGGTTTTTTTGTTTCCGGGGAGGGGGAGGGGGCTGGCTAGAACGGTTTTGATGATGCATTAACTAACTAACTAACTAACTAAATAACTAAATAAATAAAAGCTGTAGGGAGATCATTCATTTTTGGGCCACGGGCCTTTTACATAGGAAGTACCAATGGTGTCAGGCAATCAGTGTTAACATGCGGACATTGCCAACAAGGGGGTTTCAGATAGCCATTCTCCAGGTCTATACGCATTGTGAACAAGTTCCTGTAATTGTTGTTTGTATGTATAATTCAACGCACCAAAATAAGAAAGATGTAGATTTATTTCATCCTATTATACAGACTGAATGGTTGTACAAATTTATTTACTGCTAGTGATAAGACCTGCTTTTTTTTTTTTTTTTTTGTTTTCGTTTTGTTTTCATATTTTTTCCTCCTTTTTTTTTTTTTGGAGAATAAACTAGATTAAATTCTGTTGACTTAACAGTGTTTTGTGCTTGGGGGAGGGAAAAGGAATATTTTTCTTTCTTTACTGATTTTTCTTAAAGTTTGTTTGGATGGTATTTATTGCATAGTTACCACGGGTATGGGAATGTGTGTCTCTGCGCTCATGCTGACGGCCAAAGCAATGTTTGCAGTGGCTTGATAAAAAAAAAAAGATAAATCACAGAACAAAGGAAAAAAACCCTCAAAAATAAATGGACTGCATGTTAGTGTAACCCCACTGTCCAGTGTGTGTGCTCCCTGACCTTCGAACCGCAGCCCAGCTGCTGCCCCTGTGTGATGTTGGGCTCCCACGTGGGATGGGTCCCTTTGGGTCTCAGGCAACCATGGCCAAACTGGAGTTGAGGAAAATACGGGACTCAGATAAATGCAAAGGTAGAGCAGAGTTCTTGTGATCCTGGATGATTTTTGGGCAGTGCTAGGAAAGACCCCAAGATTTTGGACAGAATCTGGAAAAGCGCTTTCCGCTCTGTCTCCTTGGCTACTCAGTTATGTAATGATTAGTCTACAGTTGAGATCTTGATACGAAATCAGGATGGACCAGATCTGTCCCTGTGCTTTGAGGAATGGGCAGAACCTGTTACAAAAGGCTGGATTTGATGATAGAGGAAAACTCACAGAAATTCAAAGGCCATCAGCCAGTCCTTCCCTGCAAGAGCTTTCTTTGAAATAGTGGAATTTTAATTAATATTATTACTGATAACAGCAAAGTTGGGCTCTTATAATTTGATTTCTGGTGGTTTAATTCTTAGAAATCCATCCTTCTCTTAGTTTTCAGAATTTTCTTATCCAGCTTCTTTATGCCGTCATAAGGGTTGGGCATTTACCTTCTAAATTAAGAGCTTTATCACCCCACTCCATTTGCTGGAGATTTAAGTGTGTTGTGATAAGACAGAGGTTGCCAAGGCTGTGAGAAACTGCTCGAAAAATCCCAAACAAAAAATACAACCCCCAAATGTGAAAACCTCAACAGACTTGACATGCAAACTATTATTACTATTTTTTTTTAATGCCAAGTGAAATAACCAAGTTCTTTCCACCAGAAGCATGTGTGCTCCTGCCTTTCAGCGCCAGGTGGATGGAGAAATATCATTATATTTATCAGATGCTGTTTTGAACCCACTCTCTCTTGGGTGATATCTGAAGGGGTAGCAGTGTCATGGTCTAATGTTATGCTGCAGGATGGCTCATGAGTGAGGGTGTTTCATGTAAGAAAGGCCACTTCTAAACTTTCAGGATGACTATGAGGTTAAATGGCCAGTGATTTGGGAGTGGGGGAGGAGGGGCAGAGAACTGCCCTTTATTTGGGCATTTTCTCCCCTGTTTCAAACTGTACTTACTTAAACCATGTCTACCATAAAGGAGCATTTAGCAGATGGAAGCGGAACAGGCAGTAATCGTTCTGTAATATTGTATATTCTTTCCTTTCTTCTCTGTTGACAAAAATGTGTAAAAAAAAAAAGTCAGAACAAATGGCACACATTTAAAATCTTATGTTAATCACCTTTCTGCTTTCTCAGTTAATATTTTAAGCATAAAGACTAAATGTTGAAATAAAACAGAGTGAAGAATTACTGAGATGCAA